GGGACTCATGATTGGATCCACGAGTGATCCTCTGTACTGTTCCTACGGTACTCGTTGCAAAAATCGAAAAATCGAAGATCTATTTGTACAGAAAGAATGTAAAACGTCGATCATAGTGCACGTTGCAAATCAATTGAAACAATGAGGTTTCACAGGGTATTCCCAAGAAAGTTAGCAGCGTATTCTATGAGTAGAAATGAGTGCTGTGGTTTTTGCTTCAATTTAATGTCCTGAATGCTCTGCTTAAAAGTCTGAAAGTTAGCAGGGCAGGTGCAGGAGGCGTCCTCTTCTTCCTCTTTTTTAGATCCCTTCTTCCTTTTTTATCCTGAATGAAGAATGTCGATAATACTAGGACTTGCGTAGGCCCATGCGATAAATTTAACATTAAGATTTGGAACGCCCCGTGAAACAGTTTCAATTGATCCGCAACGCGTAGTATCGAAGGGTACTACGGTACGTACAGTAGGATTTACGAAAATTGATCGTTCTTCTTAGCTCTCGTTCTTGAACACACGACTGACTCTTGAAAGGAGGGCGCGATTGAACGTGTATGATACGCTATTGGTCATGAGTAGTACTGTTAATAGTTGTAGAAATATCTGCTAGTACAGTAATAATGTACGATAGAGTACGTACGGTACGTACAGTAAATCAATTTTCGGATGATACAAGATTGTCACAGACACTGTAACACAAATAGCGGTTCGTCGTAACTAATAGTACGACCACAGGAATGCTGCATCTGCGGAAGCAAATCGAGCGCACGGTACAAAAATAACACACCAGGAGGTACAAAAGCACTCCCCACTACGCTCGGTAGTCCGGTACCCATAATCCAAGAACATCAGGAATACTTCTGATACGGGTACCGTATCATCATTTATCACGTATCTTTCTGCACCGTACCTCGATAGCAGAAGAAGACAACGATACCACAAATATATCATGGCGTCTATTTCAGTGACTTTAGATTCCAATTCTTCTAATCCTTGGGTTCCAGAATCTCCCACTTTCGATAACGAGCAGGACTTCTACGATTATTTGAATGCAAGTAATGAAATCAGAGATAGGGACCGTCCGCCGGTTTCAGAGATCTGCATGAAACAAATCTTTGAAGACAGCCATGACGGCATCGATTTCCCACCTTTCCAAAATACACGACCCATCGTTTCTGCACACTCGAAAATCTGGAGGGCTGGACACAGCAACAACATCTTGACCCTGCTCACAGGAACCCCGGAGGATGTGAAGTCATACTTTATTGGGCTATTGGTGTCTTCCATCACTGTGTTGATAGTATTTCTGACGTGGATGATTCTGTTGATCACACTCAAAGGATTAGGGAGCGACAGAGCAGGGTTCCTCGCCGGAAAACGGTCCAAGCTCCCACCAAAACCGGTAGGAGAAGGGTTGCCATCGACAGAACCGCAACCTGTCGCTGATTTGAAACCTGAAGAAGAAATTGGTACTGTGGAGGCGGCACCGGAATCAGCCGAAGAGGATGGCAACAATGGCAATGGCGAAAGCAGCAGCAACGTCGACATTAAAAACGAGGACGGAAACATGATCGATTCGGATCATTTGACGTCCTCATCTAAAAGAGATTCAAGGGAAACAAAAAGAAATGTGTTGCTGTCAAAGAACGAATGGAACGAGGTCTACTCGACCAAGAAAAAAGAAGAACGTTGGATGAAAATAGTGGTCGTATTCGCCTGTCTGATGGTAATTTTTATGTCCATTGTAATGGCAGCAAAAGGCGTCCAGAGTCTCAAAGGAAGTCTAGACGATGGAAAGGCTAGCATTAGCTACGCGGAAAAATTGTTAGACAACGCCCAAGGAGTCGTCAACGAGCTAACAAACGGACTTGGAGAATTCCAGACGGATTTTTTGGACTTGCTCGAGCGATCAAATACAGGAATGTGTCCTCGATTAAAACCAGAGGGACTGTGTGAATCTTTGTTGGAAGTTGACAGTTGCGATTTCACAATCGAAGTTGACATCGATCAGGATATCGTAATTGATAAACTCGACGTGAATACAACGGTAGACTTTAATTACAGTCATTCTGTCGATGTTTCGAAGCTGTCCGAAAGCATTAAAGACAAGATAGGAATTGACGGGACACTTGATCTGCGAGAGATTTTGTTTCCAAGCGCTCAAAATGTTTATGAGGATCTGGTTGGAGCCTTCTCGAAAGACTGGCTTTTCCTTGATAAAATGCGTGATTTTTCGGATACCATCGGCTCGGTGTCAACACTCGCCACCGAAACAGAAGAGCAAATCAATGCAATTAATTGGGTATTTTACATTGCAGTCATCTTTGACGTTATCGTGGGTCTATTGGCAGTTTGCATGATCATACACATCTTGGCAGGTGACAGATTGCCGCTTTCTCTCAAATGCTTCCAAAGGCGATGTCTCTTTCCCTTTTTTATCGCATGCGTCTCCATAGCATTTATCTTTGCTATTGCATTTTTGATAGGTACGTTATACATTAGTATCTCAATCTCGAAATACTCGTCTTTTTCTTTGACGGAAACACTAACTTCACATTCCTTGTACTTCCTCTTTCCCCAGCTAGTATGGCTCTTTCTGACTCGTGAGTTCAAATTGATTTCAGAACGGAATTCGTATGTAAACATAGCGGAAACAATTATCTGACGCTAATTTTTCTTCTGTTTCATTTTCAAAATTAAAGATGCGCGAATGGTCCCAGCGACCGCATTTTGTCAGTGGCTCAATACTATATGGGTGATAGATTAGCCGCTGATTATGTTACAGACATCATCAAAGAATGGTTCTCTCGTGAGTATCTCCGTACCTACTTGATTTCACAGAAAAATTGAATGTGAACGAAAACAAATAATTTTTTGCTATATCTTTTCTTGTTTCATGTGTTTTATGGATTAAAAATATTCTCACCGCGATTCCTTCCAAATAATTTTCAACACGATAGAGTGTGATGTACAACCCCCATCCATGCAACACGACCAGTCGTTTCTTGACGGCGCGCAAAAGATATTCGAGGATTTTGATGTGGCAATACAAAATATCGCGGGTAGTGTCACAGACTTCTGCGGAACGACAGATCAGTATCTATTCGGTGACATGATCTCAACGACCTTTAAATATCTCTGCGGTGTGACAGGGTTACTTGTGGATCTTCGTAAGGCATTTCGATGTAGCACATGGATGCCTCTATATTACAATACTCGTGAGTGCATTTTCGTCCCATTACTTTAATCCATTGTTGTAATTGTCGGACTAAACACACTGAAAATTTGTGCTTCTCACTCCTTGAACTAATTTGCCATTCCGCTTTACCAGTTTATAACGCTGTTTGTTACAATGCAATTGATGGGCTTTGGAGTATAGCAGCAACTCAATTTACGACTGTGCTTATGACATGCATCATTTTGACGTTCAGGGCCGTTTTCTTCGATCTTGAGATCGTTGAAAGTGGTACTGATACAGGCGAGGAACCTGCTGCGCTTTCTTCTCCAGGAGATGATTCGAAGAACAACATTGAGACTGAGACGAAGGACGATAGGGACATCGAAGTCAAAGCAGGGTAGTAGGTCTGCAGCGGACATACAGCAAGGAGGAGTTCCTCTACAGACATTTAACGTGTCTTTTAATCTCTTTTTTTTCTTCGTTGAACGATACAAAGTGAGCAAAATTTGATTCCTGTTAATGCAACAATAAACCTTCGTTCTAAAGGATGTTGCTACCAACAGAATTATCGTCTTCATGGATTCAAAAAATTGATATTTTGCCATCCCGAGCAATTTGGTTTCATTCATTTTACATCAATAAAAAAATCCTTGATTGTTATACCTTACTGCAACAAGTTTTCATTCATCAATCTACTGAGTGTATGAATTCTGTTTTTGATTTCATCAGTCGAGATACTGATTGTTTTGTAATTTGAAGGTCCTGGAGATTTCAGATGGATTTTCTCGCGCTTGTTGTAGCTTCTGGATTGTTTTTAGAATCAGAGCATCGTTTCTTCTGGAAGAATACTTGTCGGGTATCTGCGATTCTGTACTCCCGAGAATGCATTCGCTAGCATTTCTCGGCAACTTCGGTTTCAGACGCATTTTTTCGTTTTTTATTAGCGCACGTGAATTGATGTCGTTGTCACGAACCAAACGCATCAGAGTTACCAACCTATTCAACCGTTCGTTTGCACAACACAACCCTTCTTCAACCATATTTGTCAACGAAAAGTTCTCTTTTGAGCTTGTTGGATGGATTGTGTTGTTGTTTTCTTGTTGATATCTTAATGGCGATTGTAAGTTTGGGCATCAAAAACAATACTTGCTTTCTCCTTCTTGGCGAAACAAAGTTAGCCAACTTTCATGCTGAAGATGCAAAATTAAACATTGAACACTACTGATTCGATACATTTTCTTCGGGCTCTTGTAGCTGCAAAATATTTTGTATTCAGTACAGTACGAGAGAAATCACTGGAAAAAATATGATACGTGACATCACCGTCTACTTCTTCGTAACAAGAAACTCTTTTCACAATTTGCTATTTTCATTTTTTCATTTGTCTGATAGTTTTTATTTGTCCGATGTGCGACGGTGAGTAAGATTTTTTGTTACACCTTCCTCGCTGTCTCTTTGTGTGATTGGTCATAGCGCAAAACCTTACTTTTATTTTTAGCTTTCAATCAAACTTAAAAATAAGAAGAAGAAGAATGCTATTATCCAAAAAATTTGTTCTCTTACAGTAAAAAAAGGCCGCCCTATCGAACGCACACTCCTAGCAAAAACACGTGCGTCAAAAATAAAAATTATGAAGGTAACCATAAATTCTGCAGATTGAATCTTGACGACACCAACAGAAAAAAATCAAGATAAATAGCTGTATCAGAATGATAAAAAAATCTTTCTATACCTCCGAGGCCACAGTACGATTCTGGTGGTATCAACAAAACGATATCAATTCTTTGGAGAAGCTAGACCCGAATTTGATAGGCTCTCTAGTGCCGAATGATTTACGTGTTTACAATAAAGAGTGAGCTTATTCACTATCTACTCGTGAATTAGGGTCACAACGCGTTGCAAAATCGGGATTGCCCTGCGGCGCGCTTTCAACAACGATGGTAAGGTTGGGGAAAATGACATAATGTTGCATGTAAGCAAATTTGCATGCGAGTACCGTAAAACAATAATCCATGTAACTTCTGAATGACAAGCTCTTCGGCCTTTGAATGTACTCAAAATACAGCTGATCAAGTTCATTCTCCTATCAACGTCTTTTGCTGGAGGTGCTGCTAATCATGAGAAAGATTAGTGTACAATTTATGATTTTAATGACAATTGGTGCTATGACGACAAATTTTTCGGGAAGAATCGCTCTACAAGGTACTGAATTTGTGTCTGCCTCGATTTATCCTTTTATATGCAACTCATTTCCCAGGGCTTGTCCAATGATACCTGGGTTGTTGTGATTGTGAATCAGATAAAAAAAGCTACTAATCAAATCAATACTTATTTAGTTGCTACGAACTTCATGATACATATACGAGCTGAAAATTGAGTTTTCGTCAATAATACAACCAGTTCTTCTTCCTAGCATATCTCTCACCACTCTGCTATCATTTTCTCTGCTTTTCATTTATGTCTTTTTCCACGGATCGACATTGTGTTTTTTGAACGTGTCTGAGTATCGAAAAGTCTGCCCATCTAGGTGCTATGGCCTGGAAACATCTCCAAGCCTTCACATGCCGAGGAGAGCCATAATCTCGTTCACCCAAAGCTACAGCTTCTAACAAGTCATGAACTGCTTTTTGCAGAGGGATTGCTGCCCACGAGTGAGTCTTCATGGGTGGATTCTCAGCACCCATTCGTGAGATATGAATATTACAGTTTTGGTGGTGAATATTTTTCCCTATGAGTTCAGGAAAGGATGCATAACAAATTTTAGGAGCTCTGCGTTCGGTATAATTGCTGTTGAGTTCCATCCGAATTGAATCACAGAAGCCCTTGAGCGCGTGTTGAGTCGCACCGTACACACTTTTGTATGGTGAGGCGATCAACCCAGAGGTACTTGACAAAATCACAATTCTCGAGTCGGATGTTTTTGGGATGTGTTTCAAGGCATAGTGCAGTGTCGTGAGACAACCGATGGTATTCCCCTTCACCATGTCCTCGATTTCGTGAACGTCAATGATTTCCTCGAAAAGACACCCGTGGGATTTATTTTCTCCATTGAGAATTACAACATCAAATGTTTCGTTGAAGTCCTCTGCAGCTTGTTGTAAAGTCTGCTCGGCACTATCGGCTTTTGACAAATCAGCGGAATAGGATCTCACATTTGAAGAACCCAATTGGTGGCATTCTTCGACCAACCAATCTAAATCATCTTCCACGGACGTAGATGAATGAGATATCAAAATGAGGTTTGCACCCTGAGCAGCGTATTGCCTTGCTGTTTCTGCTGCTAGAGGTGACCTGGCACCCGTCACAACCACGGTTTTGCGGCGGGCAGACCATTGCTTTGAAAATGTTCGAGACCACAAGAACGATACGAGGTATTGCGGAAATGATAATACCAGCAATAGATTAAAAACCAAGAAATCGTACAGCAATGTATTGATCGTCGTATATTGTGGTTCTTCGGTGTCTGTTTCATTCGTCAGTGCGGAAGCTCTTGCTTCTTTCCGTTGTTTCTTTTCTTCGTTTTTCTGCTGTCGCCTTTTTCGCTCTTTCTCGTGCTCTTCGCGTTTCTTTTGCCTTCGCTCGTGAATTCTCTTCGAGTGGACATCTTTTGCTAGCTTGTGCGAACGACTCCCGTACCTACTATTCGAAGGTGAGGCGGGAATAATCTGGGGTGATCTGTGGGACTCTTGAAGGTTTCCACCAGAAATTTCGGTTTGACGACGGCTCGCGGTTGACATCATTGAAATTATCGATTCTGATTGTATTGATGAAACAGACCGATTGGAGCTGGACCGACGCAGTCGTGGTCGCAACGACATTCGTGCAGCCTCAACAGCGGACGAAGGGGTTGGCCGGCAATCAAACGGTGATTCAACCAACGACCTGAAAGATGGTGGATGAAATTGGGATTTCGATCGCACTGACATCACTGCCGGATCTTCTACAATTTCAGATGTGTCTAGAATCGCATCCATAAATTCATTGTTATCGTTCTTCCTGTCACTTTTCTTCTGGTCCAGAGGTGGCACTGACAGTGTTCTTTGTTTTCTTTTGCTGTCCGACATCGTAGGCGGCACAGAAGATGATCTACTCGTAGAGGATTTCGACTTGTTGTCATTCACTTTTTTTCTAGTGGACACGCCTCGGATTTTGGACTTCGTTCTTGATATTCTCGATTGAGATGAAGCTGTTGACGAAGTGGGAACGGTGGGAGCGGTGGATCCTGTCCTAGTTGAATGAGCGGATCGTCGAGATGCAACAGAAGACGAACGCCTGAGGCTCTTCCGATCGCTACTCGGACGTCCGCTTCTTCCACGTGTCTTCGACACACTGCTTTGATCACCTGCTCGACGGGTCTTTGATCTGGCTCTCGAGGAAGAAGCATCATGTTTCGGAGTGGAAGGAGCATCATCTCGGCTCGAGACGCCATCCCGCAAATCACTGCTGCGGATAGCCTTAGGCTTAGTAGGGAGGTGATCGAGCCCGGTCGTGGTAGTTTTGTCATCGGCTTCGTCGTTCCTCTCCTCGTCGGGATCGATGGGACTTGCTTCGATTCCCTCCTGGCTCTTGCGAGTGTCGTTGTTGTCAAGAAGCAAAATTTTTGTTTCCTTCTGATCTTTGCCGGTTGAAATCGTAACAGTTGCACGATTCAACTTTTTTTTGTATTGAGGGCGTGACGTGTAACGCACGTTGTTGTAATTCCCTGTTCGGCTTCGCTGCATTTGCTGGTTCTGTCGATGATGGGTCGGCTTGACATCCGATCGTCCGAGGTCGGACGGTGCCCAGGTCGGTTCCGTCAAGCTACTCATTGCAGTTTGAAGTTCCGCCTCGTTGAAGGCTTGGTTGTAGGTATCATTTGGATGTGAATAGTTTCGGATCGTTTGTCCGCCAATATCTGCGGATGGTTGCCGTGATTGGGGGTCTCTTGACAAAGAACGATGCCTTCGATGCTGCTGGTTCATGGCATTTCGGTTTTGCATGGACTTGCTGCGAGCTCGAGCCGTTTTGAGTTGGATTATTTCGGCTTTCGATGGGTCTTCGCTATCATTAGCCAAAGATATCCCACTGCTACTTGCTCGTTTTAACGACCCGCGGGTGAACTTTTTTGTTATCATAGGCATTCTGACGATGTGTGACTATCAATTCTCTTGTATTGTAGCGACTGATGTTTGCTTGCCTGTGGATATTAGTTTTGGAATCGAAAGTGTTATTAATAATCCATGACTTTAACTCGAATRCGAGAAGGAAGAAGACAGTGGGGGGAAGTACAGTAGGTGATACCCGAGAAAACTAAAAATCGGTTACTTGGCAAGTCCGGATGCGAGATAGAGAGTGTGCGTCGGAACTGAATCTGTGASTTCATCGAAGTTGTGGGGCCAATCCGCGATAAATCAGTCGTATGTAATCAATCGATACATCGCCTATTTTAAATCATTTAATGCGATGATTTCGGTTGAAAACAAATATGATGAAAGACGCGACCTCTAGCATGCTGAGGTACGATACTGTGCAATGACATACTCTTAGTACGAGTACCTACAGTACATTGCTTCCTTGGAGGCCGCATCATTTATCATTTACAGTAAGTACGAGTTCTCACTACGCCTTGCGGATCAATTGAAACTATGTTCACAGGGCGTTCCCAATCTTAATTTAACATTCCAAATGTTAGAAATAACATTCCAAATGTTAATTTAACATACAGAATGATGTTAAATTTATCAGGTAGGCCTACGTACTACTAGATCCTAGCATTATCCACAATGCTTTCTTTCAGTCTTGCCTGTGCCTAAAAAGGAAGAAGGGATCTAAAATAGAGGAAAAAGAGGACGATGCCTCCCCTCCTAACTTCTTTCAGACTGTTAAGCAGAGCATTCAGGACATTAAATTGAAGCAAGAAAAACCTCAGTACTCATTTCTACATAGGCTATGCTGCTAACATTCAGAATGTTAAATTAACATCATTGGGAATGCCCTGTGAAACATAGTGTCAATTGATCTGCAACGCGTAGTACTAGGAGTTTGTAGTTGTTCATTTCTGATAGTACTACTATAAATATCATATCCTTTTTTTTAGTACAAATTCTACAGGAGAGCTCTACTGAATGTTGCTCCTCCCCAACATTTTCAGCGTGATTTGCCTTCTGGTGAGAAAGAAGCAGGATTGGTTCTGCACCACCAGAATATATGCAAACTACCTAAGCAGATTTTGTACTGTGTTCCAATACTGCACTAAGGATGGCATCATTATATTAACTATGGGAACCACATATTACTAGTACTAATAGTGCTGGGGTGATCACTTCTTGTTATGATATTCATTCTGCTGGTAGTACTATTAGTAACATAAATCAATATGTTATCAGGGATGTTTTTCAGTGGTACTACTAAAGACACAGTAAAATGCTATGGGGGCCTACTGCTGAACTCAACCTAAAACCAGCATGATAGAGCTGCTCATTTTATTTGTAAAAAACAACTCCTCAGTTCAAAGAAGCAACTGACCATGGAAATTGCTCTCTTTCAAGGACTTCCACTCAACCTTAGAACCTGTAACTGGTATCAAACAAGAGCTCTCTCTTCAATTGTCAATTAAACTTGTCTTGAACTGTAGCAAACAAGCAAGTGTAACAAGATTTTTAGCATGTTCAATGCAAACAGCAATTTGGCCAGCATGATCAATAGCAGCAGCTCAAATGAACATAAAAAGGAGGGGGGAGGGCTATCAGAGCTAATCGGAATGATCAGTGAAGACAATGACATATTCATGGCCTTATCTGACCCATTAGAGGGACTGGACTTGTCATCAGGAGCACGCAGCAGCAAGGATGTGTGCACATTCTTGTTTGCCAGCTCAAGCAGCAAGGATCCAAGAAGCAGCAAAGATACATTCACCAATGATTCAACAAGCAGCAATAAGGATGAGTCCTCTTCCAGCAGCAACAATTACTTGTTGTTGTCTGGTGCCACCATCAGCACACCACCACAAGCAACAACAAGGAAGAGGTCAGCAGCAAGGAGGAAGAGGTTTCAGGCAACCACCACAACCAGCAAGAAGAAAAGAAGACAAAATCAACAGGAGGAGCAAGAAAGAAGAAGAAGAGGAGGATCATTCCAGAAACAGAGGTATCTATGAATGCCCCTAAAGCCATAGGGACATACTACAATATTTTTTGCAAGTTGATGGAGTTCAATAGAACAGTTGCAAGTATCCTTTTGACGATCATGTTTTCAGTGATGAGGAGAACACAGCAATCAAGTCAAAGGATATCTTCAGCATGAGGGCCTCCTATGGAAAGATTGATCCATGTAATGCCGATTGTCCTACTGAGGCACAAGCTAACTCTATACAGTATTGGAAGAAAGCAAGAATAGACTTATCAATCAGCTGGTTGGTGCATGTAGTAAGAAGTCTGAGACAAGAAGGGGATCAGGCAGAGCAATTGAAGCAGGAGATAGGGAAGCAACGCACTTGGAGTTTATTCAGCTACTAGTGAAACTGGTTTCAAATCAGGGACAGTTGCTTGATAATTTGAGGCACCAAGGAATGCTCAAGTTTTAGCAACATATTATTTGTAGGATGATGATGGATGATGCTGCACATGTAATTAAAGCAAACTTCAATGAGAGTTTGTGCTATTCTAATTATTTGTGTGTGAAGTTGAAGTGGTCCAAGAATGTGAGTTAGGAGTGCCAGTGTCTTCAGTAGTTGCTGCTAGGGGCATGCATTGGATACAAGTTACTGTGTTCTGGTGGGGCTTGCAGTTTTTCTAGAGAAGTGGCTTTCCTCTGGTGAAGTAAGGACTAGTCAGTGGCTGTTTGGTGAGGGAGATACTGATTGCCACAAGAATGCAGTTGAAGAGCAGGAGTTTGAGACTGAAAGACCAAAGTCAAATTATGCTAGGGCTGTCAAGGCAGCACTAACAAATGAAGTGTTTGTCCATCAACCACAATGGAATCACTCTATTTGGAAGTACTCTTGTACAAAGGCTAGGAATAGTGGTGGAACCTTTGAGGAAATTGATTACAGATGGCATTGGAAAGGACAACAGAGGATACAGTCTAGTACTAGATATACTTCAATTCAGTTAGACTGGCCAGATATTTCTTGTGCTACTAGCAAGCTAACTGAGGGAGGAACATGCAGATACAAGGCAGTTGAAGGTAGCAGTGTTACAGATGAATGGGTTGCAAGTGAAGTCACTCCTGCAATTGGCTGCAAGTAATATGGGGATTGGTGTTGTGAAAAATCCTTGGGCTTAGACAATTTTACAACCATCAAGAAGTTTCTGAGTTAGCTGATTTAAAACGCCAACTGAGATCACTGCAAACCACACTACTAAGAGCACTGGCTTCTGCTCCTGCTTGCATTGTAATTGTTGGTGGTAGTGCTGTTACTAGTGTCCTTGGTAGTGGTGGTGCTAGTAGTAGGAGGAGAGGAGGACAAGAATGAACTGCAACAGTAGTAGTAGTAGCTGCTCCTTTTGGTACTAGTCAGTCCTCTGTTCCTCCTGCAACACTTGCACCTAATCTGAAGGCTATTCCAGCTTTTTGGGATGAATGGTTGAACAGCATTGTTGGAAGGAAACCAGCAAGGAATTTCAAAGCATCAGAAAGAGGAAAATGCAGGGACAACAAGTACTGCAAGAGACTGGTGATTATTTGGAAATGTGTGGAGATGCTGACTGAAAGAGGAAACACTGTGCTTGGTGCAGTTGAAAAGATCCATAAGGTGTATGGATATCCATCAATGATAACAAAGCTAATTCAAATGATGAGGAACAACAAAAGGAATGGGAGACATGCATAGACTGAAGAGCCAGTGATTGCAATCAATTCGTAGCTAGCAAGCAATTTGTTCTTGCAGCAATTTGCCCAGTAGTTACTACTACTAGTAGCAAGCTGTGGAATTGCACTTTTACTATACCTGCTGCCTGCTGAGTGTTCCCCCGAGTGTGTCCCATATGGGCCAGTCCTGTGGTTCACACACACTCAGTCCCCTTTTGTATCACATTCACTTAGTAGCTTTGTCATCCGTCACCTATGTATGTACCATACCGTAGCTAGCAAAATACAAGCCTATGAATGTGAGCACAGAGTCCATGTATCCGGAGTGACGAACGGCACTGGGGAATCCCTACGGGATACGATACGGCAGGCGACAGAAATCATATCTCTACCGTACCTCCTAATTATTACGAGTTACTGCGATTTAAGTGAAATGACGTGTATTGTGCAACAATGAATTAATGTTCCACTTTCTTCTTCCACGAAATGGGAATCTTATGAAAATAACTTCAATGCACTTCAAAAGAATAATCGGAGAAGAATAGAAATGTTCTTTTTCTAGTCGAATCGGAAAGAATACGATTTTTGATTCCCTCAACTACACGGTACAATTGTACTTAAGATTCTTTCTTCGCAACATATATTGAGAAGTTGTACTTGATGTTGTCTTTGGTGAGACCACAAATCGAAATTACATCGTACCCACACCACACGTCACCCGTTTTCCATCGAGCAGCATTTGTTTGTATTTGTGCCCTACAACTGTTCTTCGAAAGTAACACAGTTCTCTGTGGTACATACTCGTACTTTACTTGCAGAAATGGAACGCATTTTTTGCTCCAGTAAACGTTGGCAGACATACGAGGAACCATTTGGGATGTTTTGTTGACGATGGGAGTCGGAAGAAACCTGATGGAAATAATATTACTAACAGCAACAGCGATACGATAGCAATGGTTTGACTCAATAGTGTTGACATTAAATTAGTAATACATGGGAATTTTAAGAGAAAAGTACATAGTTGTTACTGGTCTTGGTTTGTTTTGATAGTTTGTGACATGTTGGGTTGTCATTTGATATCGTCATTTGATATCGTCATTCGATGTCGTCATTCGATAAAACCTTGCACTTTTTTGAGACGACCGTGAATTCTGTTGCCCCTGCCTTCCTTTGGTGTTGCCGAAGGCAAACGATATTGCTTTCCAGCAATCGAGTTTTTTTAATTTCCTGAAATTCGTTTTCTCTCGGAAGCAGAGTCGTTTCCAGCGGCATCAAGTTGGTGGCCACGCAGCCGGGTTGACAAGGGATCAATGTGGGTAGATGTGGAGGCGGCGATAATGGTCTTCCGTTCGGTAAGGATGATGAAGACACTCCAGGAAAAAAGTCTCTGTTGGGCAAAGCAGAGGATGCTGAAAAATTTTCTGACGGAACTCGATCAATTGAAGATTTTGTTATACCTGGACTTGGTCCACTGTATATGGTTGGTGATTGCAATCTTGTACATGCAGATATAGACGTTGGTTTGACTTCGACCGTGGCTCGAACAAGGAGGTCTAAGGCATAAGTTTCATTTCTTGAACACTTGTATCTTCCGCTGAGAACTTCATCTTCGATAAGGATGGGAACAATACGAGATTGGCTGCTGTGAACATCGTTGCGATGAGCAGATCTCTTTCGAATTTCTCCTTGGTTAGAACGCTTCATTTTCTCGTTACTGCGCCTGTGCATTGTATTTAGGACTTCCTCTTCCTAAAGTAATGTTCCCATCCAAAGTGATGAAGAAAAATAAGTTTGAATACAAGTTTTTCAGTCATAGTGAGAAACTTGAAGCTTCGCGAAAGATATCCGCGATTTTGCGATCGACCCTGAGATTGGACGCGCAAAGCAACTTTTGCCTACCGGACCAAAATTTCAGCTTTCTAATACTGTTTTCGAAGAACCATTTCCTATTTATTGACGGTAAGATCAAAAGACCATCAAAGATGTTCTGTTACGTTCCCTCGTTCAGTTCGCATAGGTCGAGGAAAAAGTTCTGTAAATATTTAGTTGCTTATTGATGATCAAAATAAATAAGCCTCATGTCATTGCCTGAAATAGATGATTATAGCATTGATCTTCTGCCGTAGTAGTCAACAGAGCTCTTAAGTTCAAGCCCAATCATGTCAAGTACCCAAGTACTTCGTACAGCACATGGCTATTCCCACTCAGTCATTTTTTCCCATTTTCCCATCTCCATTATTTCTCTCCCTCACCCTCCTCACAGAAAAAATCAGGTTAATTAATATTTCTAATAGAAGAAGTCCTTCTTAMTACTACTAACAGGATTTAATATCAGAGGCTTCTTGCACCAGTACTAGTACTACTTGTTGAAAATTTGTCTTACCACTCGTCCGACTGGATAACATCAGTTAGTAGAGCCACCAGGAGCGAGAAATTAAACAAGAATGCTGAAAAAAGATTTATTTTTGTCAATTGGACAGTTATTTTAACAACTGCTGTACTAGTAAAAATGCTGTCAGTACTAGTACTAGGATATCATGTTGTGGGTATATCTGTGAAACATACCATATATGACATGTATCTATGGTTCATACACATTCTACATTCACCACTCATTCAATCGTATGGATCCTCACAAGAATGAACTTGACTCATTCAATTCACACACATCACTAGATCCCCACTTCTTGATCGATCTTAGATTTCATAGTTTGTTGATCCTTGATAAGATCATTGACTCACTTTTCTTCTAGCACACAATTTACAACACTATTAGATAGTCGTCACTCCCAAAAAATGAGCTAAGCAAAAATTTCTACTACCATCTGTGTGGAAATTKCCAAATACTTGACATTATTGCCCTTGAACTTAGGAGTTCTAGTGTGACGTAGTCAAACCCTAAAAAAAATTCTTTGAAGTAGGAAAATGATTCTGGTGCACTTTGTATTGCAATAGGTGGGAGTACCAGTAGCAGGGTTGACCTACTATCTGTAATCCACCAGAATGACAAGAACATCAAGGTTTTTATTCTATTCTTGACATGAATTTCTTGGGGTCGATAAAGAAATCTATCTGGGTTAACATGAATCTTTTTATTACTCATGGCCTACAAATATTTCAAATAGTAGCAGTATAAGTATTTGTTCATTCCTCCTGAATCATAGTACTACTACATAAAGCTGATAGTGTATGTCAGCAGGAATGTTTCAAGTGGTACTGAAGACACACCAGGCACACTGAAAAAACATATTTTCCCTCTTTTTAGGAATTTGAAATTTTATGTCAGTATACATTTGGTCACAAGATTCCTCAGTGGTGCATACAAGATTCATTTTAGGTTTTCACAAAACAAGATTCTTGAAATTATTAAGTAGGCAAGGATTCCAATGGGTATGTATCTCAAATACACAGGCCTTGGTTGTTGTGAGGGAGCTACAGGCAAAATCTGTGTATTCGAGATACTAAAAAACAAGCTGGCTGGTCAAAAAGATATAAATTGTTAATGTATGTGGGAATGACCCAATAGTACTACTACTAGAAGTACTTGTATTCTTGTCATGTGGGAGTGACTGTCCTAAAAGAGATGTAAAGTGTGTGCTAGTAGAAAAGTGAGTCGATGCT